GCCTTGGAAAACATTCACCAAGTTGCCCACAAATATTTGAATATGATATCCAAATGACTAAGGAATCTGGTATTTTCAAATTCAATATTGTATGATGTATATTTCAAGTCTTGGGTAAAATTGTGTAGTGGTCATAAAATTTATACTTGATGTCTCAGCATCCTTTTTCCCCCCTTGACTCTATTCTACTCTTTCCCCTCCATTAAACCTGTTTTCTCATTTTACCTCCTCCTGCCAGCAAAATCCCACCAGATAAAATGTAATCTAGGTATTTTTTAAAAAACTATTAGAAAATTGATATTTTGTACACTTTAGTATAAACTGAAGTCTCAGGAGGAGGAAGTGTTTTAAGTCTTATCTCTAAAATGTGGAGCAAACAAAAGCTTTTACAACCTCCTAGGAATTTTAATTCAGTAGTGGGGATGGGGGTAGTCTTTTTTTGTGTGTAAGAATGAAGTGGACTTGAAAACCACATTCTGTAAGCATATGAAATAAGCTTGATTCTAATGAGAAATTCAAGATGAAAACATACTTTTTTCCTCACCCCCCAACAATAAGATAGTCCTGTAATTCCTGTCTGACCATGTAGTTTTACAAAATAAAGAGAGCCTACAAGACTGCCACAGTTTAGCTTGTTAATGGCAATTCAATAAGGAGCAAATTTTGCTGCTTGTTTCCTATCTTTCCTTTCTTCTGGACAATTTCAGTGCACTTTATCTCTCTCTCTCTCACACACACACACACACACACAACTATAACCTCTTACCTCTTGACTTGTTTCCTGTCACTGCCCTTAATCTTTCCTCTTGCTCCAAGAGGCAGGTATCCCATTATTGAAATTGTGTAGGTAAAGAGGACTTCTATCAGTGCCATCAAGCTGCCAACAACAATCACACTTCATAATATAATATTGTGAGGAGATATTTGGCCAAGACTCTACGATATAATATTGTCAAAAATATCAATAATCTTTCACATTTCAGGAGTCAAATCAGTATTTCACATTTCACAAACTTTGTGATAGTCACAATACTTAAACAATAACCAAAAGCATGACATTTTCATTGACTACATTTATTTATAAAGGAATAGGTACTTGTGAAATTATATATATGTTTTAGCATCTTTAAGTTGAACTCATGTTGTTAAAAACCCAGAGAAGAAATACTCATTAGAAGATGAAAAGACCTAGAAAGCACCTTTCCCTTCTGTTTGTTATTCAAAGTAATACCTTCCCTGCCTATATAAACAGGAAAAAACACTACCAGGCAAATGCAAATTTTTCTTTGAGTACACAGTTGTTCACAAAACAGACTTGTCAGAAACATTCTTTCATAGCACAAACCAAGATTTTGGTGAGAGAAAAAAAGAGTAGATTTGCATTTTAGGCAAACATAAAAAAAATCCTTAAGAAAGGAGGGAAGTCATAGAGAAATAAAGAAAATTGACCATTAAATTAAATAAATTTGCAGCAGAGACATTTGAAACAGCATTTTATAATTGAATAAGCACATTCTTGCCAATAACAAAGATGTACAAGTTTTGACCTTTTTACTTATTTATATTTTATTGACATAGTCAGTTACATTATATCAATTTCTAGTGTACAGCATAACGTTTCAGTCATCCATATGCATACATATATTCATTTTCATTATAGATTACTGTAAGATATTGAATATAGTTCCCTGTGCTATACAAGAGAAATTGGGTTTTTGTCTTTTTATGTACAGTAGTTAATATTTGCAAATCTCCAACTCCCAATTTATCCCTTCCCACCCCTTTTCCCCCAGGTAACCATAAGATTGTTTACTATGTGTGTGAGTCTGTTTCTGTTTTGTAGATGAGTTCACTAGTGCCTTTTTTCTTTTTTTTAGATTTCACATATGAGTGATATATGATATTTTTCTTTCTCTTTCTGGCTTACTTCACTTAGAATGACAATCTCCATCTCCAGGTCCGTCCATGTTGCTACAAATGGCATTATTTTATTCTTTTTTATGGCTGAGTAGTATTCCATTGTATAAATATACCACAACTTCTTTATCCAGTCATCTGTGGATGGACATTTAGATTGTTTCCATGTCTTGGCTATTGTAAATAGTGCTGCTGTGAACATTGGGGTGCATGTATCTTTTCAAATTAAAGTTCTAAGGGAGATTTTCTAATAAAGCTATTCAAAAATAGGTAGAGGTCCTGGGGGTGGGGATTGGGGTGAGGGAATGGGAGAGATTATCTCACGACCCAACTCTGTGGTTTCAAGTCCTGCTTTTACTACTAGTTTCAAATGAGTTTACTTAAAACTTGAATCTTTCCAAAAGTAGACATAGTATTAACAACACCTATGGGCACAAAATTATTATGAGAATAATGGGGAAATGTCTCTGGAACTAGTTTTTAAACTGTACAGTGACACAAATGTGTATTAACATTGGGATAATGGGAGTACGGTTGGAGGGAATCCTAAGATAGCAGTGGGAGTAGGAGGGAGATATTTGGCCAAGACTTACAGTTTGCGGGTAACTACTTTTTACAGTGCATTTCTACTTTTGTTTCTGAACTTGTTTTTGAAATGAATAATAGAATGGTTGCAGCAAAGCCAAACGTATCTTAACAACAAAAAGGGAGGAGGGGAGAGCACTTTTAAAATCTTGTATTTAATCGATTTGGAGTCTGTATTTCTACCATGTCTCAGCTTCCTGAAAATCCCAGACTCCTCCACCGTCTCTTACTATAACCAGGTGGGCGGTTAAATAAGTGCCGCCTGGTTTCCTACGGGCTGTTTTGACGTCATCGAGTTGTGACGTAGCGCCCCCGCGTGCATGCTCAATTGTGCACGCACGCACGCACGCACACTCTCTCCAGTATATAAAGCTGGACGTGGCCGCGCCTGCCAGTTGCACCAGGCAGTGCGGGACGTTTAGCATCCTGGCCCGGGGTTTGCCCAGTGCGGGTGGCTAGTAACCCCCTGCTTCCCAACTGCCAGCTGAGTGCCTTGGTGCCCGAGAAGAGAGAAGAGGCCGAAGAAGAATCATGAGCATCCTTTTGCTGCTAGTGAGCGGCGTTCTGTTCGCCTTTATGTTTGTCTTCTGGAAAACCCTATTTCAGGTAAATTGTGTAAGGGCGATTGGAATTAGATAACGCCAGATGAGTGCGTGGATGGGAAGTGGGGAGGTGTTTAAGAGAGCAGAAAGATAGTAAAATAAGAGTAAAAGGATGTCGCCTTATTCCTTTTTCTTTTGAAAGAGCCCCAGGTGTTTACCCCCATACTTTCCTCATATTGACCGGTGGTTCAACAGCTATAATACGTTATAAAAAGCCCTAAGTTTACCAAGTGATTATGGTCAGCTTTCCACCTCCTTAAAAAGTACAGCAGAAAGTGGCCACTTCCCACCTCCTTCCATTTTAAGAATCTCGACCTTCTTTCTTCTTCTCTGGCTTCTATTGTTTGCCGCCTTCTCTGGCTTCTATTGTTTGTTTGCCTCTTCCTCTCCTGTATTTTCCTTTCAAGCTATCATTATGAGAGCTTTGTGAGGCATTCACAAATAATTAAGGTCAAAATGTGGATTTCCTGGTGATAAAATTGCAAGTGAAGTGCCTTTAGGCAAGAGTCAGGCAGGGTCGAAGTACAGACCTACTGGACTGCCTAAGAAACGATAAGCCAAGGGTATGGCATTTTGGCAGTGAAAGGCTACTTTCATGGTTTTTTTTTTTTTTTCTCAGTCTGTTTGGGACAGGCGTATTTCCATGTCAATGTGTTCATTCAACAGATTTTTAATCCCCTTGGGGGAGGAAAATCAGTTCATTTTGGTAACCAAGACTAAGCACGTCGTTTTTTTGGTAGTACTTAGAAATTGCTAAGCTCAGTCAGTAAACTGCATATGTGTAATTTCCTTTCCTTACAGAGAAATACTGGTGAAATGTCATCAAATTCGACCTCTCTTGCACTAGTAAGATCATCCTCTCCCACTGGGTCAACTAAGAGCAATACTGATAAGAGTCTTTCAGTCAACCATCTCTCTCGGGATACCTTAATTAATTTCCCGCACTCAATAGCCATGCAGAAGAGAATACTGGTAAACCTCGCGATTGTGGAATACAAGCTGGCTGAAATGGAACAATGCCTAATTACTAAGGGTTTAAATGGTGCATTAGTTAACCGGAAATCCATTGACAACCTTACAGAATGTAATGACAGTGGAGGTAATCATTAAAGGCACTCTGAGTGGATTCATTTGATTATGTGTTTATACCAAATGAATTATTATTTAAAAGGGGCAAGGATGCCAAGTCAGATACAAAAATCCAGACATTTGTCAATTTGCTTACTCATATTTAAAGAATTGATTACATTGCTAATATATATTTTACTGGGGAAAGAATGAAAGCACAATAAAGAGTCCAAAAGTTGTTTTCTTTTTAATAAGCTACAGTAAAAAGAATATAGTTGAGATATAGTGGTTTTAATTTCACTCGTGTGAAAAACAGTTTTTTCTAATGGTTTACAATACTGTAAATGTCTCCAAGTTTGATTAAAGTGAATGGAACTTGATGGAACTCTTTCCATCATGCAGAATAGTCTTTCTCACCACTGTTGAATCTGTATGATAATAATAATAAGCTCTATCATTGAGCATCTTAAAATGTGCCAGGCACTCTGTTAAGATCTGTGCATTACACACTTGTAAATACAGTCCCACAAACTGTTAATTACTCTTTGTAGTCAGCTCTTGAAATGGATTTCTTTTCCAGCACCACCTCTGCCCCCATCAACTAGATATTATTCACTAGAAGTGTGAGTCACCTGTAGAAAATTGCATGCATTTCTCTATTTAGTAAAAAATCCACATCTCAAATAGCACCAAAATACAATGGTAGAATGCAGGTAATATAGTAATATGGATTAAAATTAAGAAAAAGTACTTCTAAGCTGCAGTTAGCCATCTATTTCAAGTAATATTTTATAGCATCCAGTATAATTGAGGAATTAACAATCTGCAGAAATTCACTAAGCATTTGACCTACCATCTAAGAAAGCCCTCAAAATATCTAACACAAGTTCATCATATATATATATACATAATTCACTGAGATTATTCAATTAAAGGCTTACAAAGACACCTGTCTTCATGCCCCCCAATAAATTACCAGTATAAATTAAAGAAACACCTTAATCCCTTACTCCTTTAATCATCTTCAATCAAAAGGAAGAGGAAAAGGAATTTAAAATGCGTAAGAAATTAAGGCTTAAAATTATTCTTTTATTCCTCATTTGCCAAGAACAAAAAACCAGCAGTAGTATATGTAGTTCTTAAACTTTTGAGTCACAGATCTCTTTTGATATTCTGATGAAAACTATGGACTCTCTCCTTAGAAAAATGCATACACAGATACACATAGAAAAATATTACATATAGTATCAGTTTCATACATTCTCTGAAGCTCAGGTTAAGAAACTTAAGAATAACTGAAACGTTTCTTACATATTTAGGCAATGTTCATCGTGCTAGGCTGTGATGTTAAACGAATTGTCAGTGATACATAATCAATGTATAAATCTACTGGTGATACAATATGTTTTCATTATTATTTGTAAGGAAACTGGGACATAGGACTTTCTAATTTGGCTGCCCTCATTCTTGACAAGTTTGACAAGTTTATCTCCTTTAAGTGTGTAAATAAGTTATCACCTGTAAGTAGTAACTTATTCAAATAAGACAAAATCATTCTGCTTGATCTATTGACTATACATTTCAATCATAAGCTCTTAGATTTGATTGAAGCCATTCTGTCATTAGTATATTTTCTATTTGAAATTAAACCTAGGTTTCAGAGTGTATTATGAACGACTCTTAACTTTGTGAAATAGTAGAAATTAGATGGGTCGTATTTTTCTTCCAAATGTAACCTAAGGAAGACATTTTGTGGGGAAAGAAATACTAAAGCTTCCAGGTTCCATTTTCTGTATTAATCACTTACTGGCCATAGAATCCTTATTTTTCTGTGTTAGTTCACTATTTGTAAATAAAGAATATAACCACTAAGTTCACAGAAAAAGTGAGTAATAAATAGATGAAGTGTTCAGACATTTGAATCAAAAGTATTAAACAACTACAGTCCTTATATACACAGTCCATTTTTTCCATATGACATTTCTAATTAAGTGAGGCTTTCAATTTTAACACTTTCTTTTCAATATATTGATTTAGTCTCTCCGCTTTATGGAAAAGAAAGATTGTGTGCTAAGAAAATGTAAGCAACTAATAGTTAAAAACATGTATAATAGAAAATATAGCTATTTTCTAAATAAACCAGGTCAAAATAAAGCCTTCAATATATTGGAAAAATATTCTGGTAATAATTACAACAATGTTATTATGAAATAGAGGCAGCTATGTGTGTGTGTTAACAGAAAATCTTAAAACAAATATAATAATCACATTGCTAAATATTAGTAGCTTCACATTTTTATATTACATTCCTGCTTAAATGGAGAAAAAAAAGCTCATTATGCTATTATAAACATAGTATATACATTTTTCTATTCGACATACAAATAAATAAAAATTCCCTCTATTCTAAAACAATCACATTACATAACCACATATTTTTAAAAATGAGAACTCATTCTGGTTTTCTGCTGGCACTAACAGTAGGTATTTCATGGTCAGTCTCTTTTTTAGAATCTACCATGTCTTTATATCTTTCCCCACGATGTTGTTCCAGGTATGGCCCCCAGTTAGAGGCTGGTCTGCAGCAGCTTATAAAGCGCTGAAAAGAAAAGAAAAAGCTTATCTTAGATCTTAAATACTGCAATCTATAAACAAACAAATATCAAACTATATTTTCATTCTAGAGTGTTAATAAGTCTCTTTGCTAATCAAAATGATAAAAGAACCATAAAAAAGTAAAAAGTGATCATCTAAATTCCTAATATACTGTCTACCAAATGATACTCAAATTTAACTAATTGTTACTAGAATCGTGTTACCTGCAAAGCCAAAATAGCTGAGTATGTAAATGATTTCCAAAGAAAGTACATGACCCCATTCAAGCAACAGCATCACTTTAATGTACTTTCACTGAGTTCTCAGACATTTCTATCCTGGCCTTATAGTAAGAATCAGGTGAGGCGCTAAACCAATATATACCTTGGAAATGTATTTAAAATCTGACTCCTGAGCCTGCCTTGTCATTATCCTAGCGAGATGTCATAATCAACTCTATCCCCTTAGGTAGGCCTCCATGAAAGAGGGATAACCCAGGGTCTCAGCTGGGTTCAAGATAATTTACCAGACTTTTTCCAGTTGTAACATACTACTGCAGTATGTATTACAACTAGATGAGGTTTTAAAGGTGAAAATACAGCTATAAAGAAAAAAGGTCATTTGCTTTGTCATCTCAGTACAACTCAAGTATAGATACCATAGCCTTTATGTGCTAAGCATTCTAATAGAGCCTGAGGATACAGGCAACAAGCAAGACAAGACTCCCCCTTAAAGATTCTCATCTAGTACGTGGAGACACACAAATATATATCCAGCATAATACAATGTTATGCACATAATTGTATCAGGTTATAGAAGTAGCCTAAAGGGAAGAATGATTTGATTTCATGTTCATAACCTCATATTAATCCTTATTTTGATCATAAGTACTTTATATAAAATATAAGTAATATTAATGTGCTTACTTGAAAGATGTTTCCTTTAGCTTGAATTATTTTTATGATAGCCATAATTGGAATCCAGATAATGCAGAAAATTATCATACACCAGCCTAGAGCAACTGCCCAGTCAGGGTATGGAATTTTGGCATACTCAGGTCTATGAAACTGCACCAATGACCAGACCAAAATTGCCTATTAAAGTAAAATATGAAAAGACAATGCTAAAGATTAGATTTTATTGCACTATGATTTCAGTTCCACTAATTATTAGCAAATTGATTCTGTTCCTTAGAAATAATTTATCAAAAGCAATTAAAATGAAAAGACATTCAAGCCAACTAAGAGAATCAGGTAACAAACCAGAAGATACCAATACTCAGTGAGCCAATCTAAATAACTTGTATTTGGCTTAGAATAGATTCTTCCAAAGTTACCACCTCCACATATTTATAAATGTTACAAATACTTGTACAACATGTATTTCAGTAAAATACTTTATGATAAAATGTATCAGATTGAAAGTAAAATAATATCTGCAATTTTCTGTTAACTTTCACTTTTAATAGCATGGTTTTATTCTGTGCTATAAGCTAGCCAGCCTATCAGTTAACTTAAGGAGACTGTAAAGTACACTTTAGTGAACGTGCTTTGCTCCTTGCTTAGCAGTTATTTCTGTTATTTCCCATTACACAGAGCATCCCTTACGCCACACCCAAAACGCACGCATTCACACAGTGCTGGCACCAAAGCACACTTCACTTCCAGCCTCCTATTGAGAAAAAAACAAGCGCGATGTATGTTTGGGTAAAACAGTGAATCTTAAAGATGAAAACAATTTAAGGCCAAGTTTTTAAAAATGTGTTTTTAAAAAATCTACTAGAATGTTGCAGCATAAAAACTAATTTGGAGACCTGTAAAGCGAACAAAACAAAATGAACAAACCCCAAAATCACCCAGTAGTTTCTCTAAATTTACCTGTCCTTGTTTTACTAGAATCAATGAGAATGTAGAATGTACAAATTTTATAGATATTGAAGTTTAACTTTAGAATTAAATAGATTAATTCCTTTAGTTACCGTTATTTAAGTTTATTTCATAATTACTACAAGACAATAGATGAGGGATAGTGGAGTCTAATATTCATGACTTTATACAAAATAGATGATAATGTATATCATTTAATATTTACTACCTTTGCATTTTAAAGTAAATCCAGTTGTCAGATCTATGTAATCAATGAAAATTAGCTGGCTAAAAAGTCTAGTTAGATCTTCTAAGTTGATGAGGGGTTTTATTTTATTATGGAGACTTCTCAAGGAAAAAAGTATTTAGTAGCACTGTCAGAGTCATCTAGCAAGAATATGGGAGCATCCAAATATTTTAATTCAGCACATCCACTTCTCAACTCCTCACTACTTGAACCTGACCTGATAATGTTAATAAAACTTACCCTCTAAAAACAGACTCTAGATCAAATTATTTAATGGTCTTTCCTTGGAAAACCTGAAGAATGGAGGCGATGAGAACCAAAACACATCCTCTGTAAAGCTTTGCCACTGCCCCACCCCCACCGTTATCTCTAGTCCATAGTAATTCTCCATCGCTTAAGTGTTTATTTTAGAATTCAGCCTTTTACTGTTCTGAACTGTTAAAGACATCACATCTATATGTCATGTTTCTCCAGTAAGACATCTTTGGCTTTCCCTCAGCTCCTAAATAGCACCAAGTTATTAACATAAACTGTTGCCTCTATTGACACAGGTGAGTTTCTTTTAGTAATTTCAGATACAAAATACTTCCCAGAAAAAGAAAAAATACGCATTAACATCTGAGTGTCTCTTAGCAATTAGAAGATTGAATTCCTTGAAGGCAGAGAGTGGGTTTTATGCAACTTTGTATTTTCTGTACCTAGCAGAGAGGTTAAGAACGTTATAGATTGGCTCAGCATATTTTTTAGGGAATGAGCAAATGACTGGTTTTTAAAAGTTTATCCTATTGATAATTTGTAAGTGTCTAGGACCTTTAGGTCTATAGGAGCCTGTTTATTTCCTCAAATGATAAATGTTTAACCCTATGGCTTCAAAAATACTACTACAAAGGCATTTTAATTTAGGCAGCTAGTAGGCACCAGTCAAGAAGCAAAAGTTGAAAATCACTAATTTATGACATTAATTTCCTTTATTGTATCCAATGTGAATTTTTCAAGTTTATCTCAGAAATGTTTAAATATACATTACTGATAGCAAATTCATGGCATATTAGTACTTACAATCAAAAGGATAGGCGTAATGACAAACCAGCAAGCTCTCCACCATAGCCAGAATATCCACCTTTTTGCTCCAATCATCATTTCTATGTCTTCAATGAATCTGTTCCCTCCTAAAAACAACAACAAAGAATGCATTCAGCCCTTGCTCATATTTTTGTTCATTAATCATTTTGTCCCCAAATCGTCTTTCAAGGTCTAAACATTTTCCTATCCTACAGCAATGAAGCATATACCTTTAACTGCATTTTATTCATAATATGTTTTTGCCCAATATATTATACTTAAGTATTATAGTAAACATAATGAAAAGGAATCAAACTAAATCATCTTAATAAAATGTGTAGATAATTCTGTAGTCACTATTTACCATAAATCCAGATGATTCCTACTATTTCCAGTATAGCTGCAATCAAAATGCCCCATCCAGCACAGAAATGGTCAATCAGATTAACCCAGTAAATTCCAGCCTACCAAAAAAAAATCAGTTACTCCTAAGTATATTTTAAATTATTTTTATGATTGATGAGGTATTCAAATTGAATTTATTAGTTTGATTTTAACATATGCTACTTAGTTTCACCTCTGCCAGAAAACACAAGGATGACTTCTTTAAATATCTCAAAAAGGATGTACCTTTCATTCTCTACTGAGTCACTGTGAAAAAATAAGCATTTAGAATAGTTGATTATCAAAATGATATGCAATGTCTGTGTGCTCCGTAGTAGCTGCCAAGAAATACAGTCTGTGTTCAAAGTCGGTAACTTTGCTGTAATTGGGGAAATTGTCTGTTATTGGGCTTTTTCCCCCTCCACAAAATATACTTACCATCGAAATTATGTTATAATGGGGAAAAAAATCTGGGCTAAAATTCAGAAAACCTTGATCCAAGTCAGACTTGGACTTGTCACTAAACATTCTCTTAAACCCTGGTTTCCTCATTTAGATTATTAAGTACATTCCAACTCATATTTTGTGCTATGAAAAAATACTGTAGAATACCTGAGTCACACAGACGAGACCAAGGAGAAACAAAATCAAGCAGCAACCCAAAGTTATGGGAACCCTCATTTTCTTCATCACTTTGGGAAATAAATCTTGAATCGTTGTTGTGATCGTTTCTTCGGAAGGGAAAGAAATGGCATGTTATATGTCAACTCATTTGCCAATAATTTTAATCACAGAAACAAACTTCTATTAATCAAATTTACAAATACATGTTGAGAATATATGCTCAGCCCTACTCCTTCCTTTTAAAAATCTGTAGGGTCCTTTCTCTTGGTGGTCACCACTTGTCAATTTGGATAAAAATCAAATGCAGCTCTATTTGTTGTTTTTAGACTGTTTTATAAGGGGTTTTGTGGGTAGCAATTTATAAGGTAACAGGTCCCTAAGGACTGAAGTAGTTTTTGAAAGGAAAAATCTAGTAGAACTTTTAAATAAGCTGAATATTTGAATAAATGACATGGAGCCAGAAAGGCCTTCTAGGTTTAAGAAATAAATGTGTTCATGAAAGAGGGTACTGGTTAAAAGTAGAAGGATGTATGAGTAAAAGGATTAAGAAACATGTTTGAAATTTTTGGAGTCAACTAGAAAGTCAACTATAGGAGGCTGAACTTTATCCTGTAAACTATTAAAATATTTTATGTAACAGTGTGATATGATGAAAACTGTTTCAGAATTTCTAGGTGTGTACCCTAGGGAAAATCTCTATGTGTACATAGAACCATGTGCAGTAATAATCATTCCAGCAGTGTGTGTCATTTTTAAAATTTGGAAATAATCCAAATGCTTATCATTATGGCAACAGATTGTGAATTAACTGGAGCTATTTGTGTAGCAACATGGATTTCATAATACATGTAAAAACAACTCGGAATGATATGTATGCTATGAAACTTCACATTTCTGTGAAATTTTTAAAATTTATGTTATTTATGGATACATATAAAATGTATACAAACATGGACTGAATAACATACATAATCCTTGGTGACAGTTGCTTCAAGGAAGAAATGTGAATTGTATTAAGGAGAGAAATATAGAGGACTTCAAACTTATCTATAACAGCTTATTTTTCTAAAAAATATCTGAAGCAAATACAAAATATTAATGACTGTTCCTTTTGGGTATCTGATACATGAGTGTTTTGTATTTTTCCATATTTAAAATTTAAGTTAAAAAGAATTTTCAGAAAGATCATTCTGAGAGTAAAAGCTAAAGGAGGCAACAAGGGTAAGAAAAGGATGTTTTTAAGTAGAGGAAACATGAGTAAAATGTAAGAGGGATATGTGAACACTGAGAGTATTACTTACCAATGGAAGCAAACTGAGAGTCGAGACCCAAAGTCAAAAGCATGAAGAAAAATAATATGGACCAAAACGGTCCACCTGGTAGTTGGGCTAGAGCTTCTGGATAAGCAATGAATGCCAAATCAAAACCTAAGAAAAATGAATGGCATTTCAATTTAAATTAGTTGCCAAAAAAATTCACATATTTGGACATTTTCAAAATACGATACTAGAAAAATCGCATTTTAATTTGGCAACCCAATCCATAATATAAATTCTTTAGCAACTGTTTCACTTGCACTTTTGAAAATATTTGGCTAGGGTGTTCTATGGTGTGATCATGTGAACATGTGACATGAATTAAGCTAGTGAGAGAAATTTTGTAAATTGTACATTTCTCACATAAGAAACCTTAAGTATTTCAATGATTTTGTTTAACTGATTTTATTTTTTTAATGAAGAATTAACAACTGTCTTAAACTTTCAGAAACCTAAATTAGGTTACCTTATTTTAGCCTAGACACTCTGAAAGAATTACACTATCAAGAAAGATATGCTTACGAACTAACTTTTTAGTCTTCAACTGTCTGTCCAGATGTTTATTCAGAATCACTATATGTAATGCCATTTTATTTATTTTTTTCACTATACATTTCATAGCCATGTAGTGCCATTTTATTTTTTATTGAACTATAGTTGATTTGCAGTATTATGTTAGTTTCAGGTGTACAGCATAGTAATTCAGTATTTTCACAGATTATACTCCATTATAGGTTATTACAAGATAAGGGGTATAATTTTAGTGCAGTTTTAATTAGTATATAGATACCTGCAAAATTGTATGTAATGAAACTATAAATTCAATCTTATTTTCTATTTGACGTATGTTACCTTTAAAGATGCTTTTTGAAAAATTTTATATGATACTTAGTTATAAGTATTTTAAGTCTCTCCAACCTCCTGGAGGACTGACCCATGAGTCAGGAGAATTAGCTTCTATCCTAGGCTCTGTCACTTCCTAATTATTTGATCTTCTGCAAGATACAACATTTCTGTACCTCAGTCCACTCCTCTGTAAGTGAGCTGGACACTAGATGGTCTCCAAAGGCCTTTCTTGTCCTAACGTTCTATTCTCATTCATCAGTCTCATCAAATGACACTAACTGTAAATAGAAATTTAAAAAGGAATTCCTACTTAAGAGAACCCTTGAATTCTGTTACTAAGAATCTTTAGCCAGATAGTTAAGCATCCCGAGTCAATGCCTTTAAAGTTAGGAAGTTCATTGATTAGATTTCTCTAAAGCTGGATACAGTTGTACACTCAAAGTCAGTTGGGTTTCTTATCTATTATGATATTTGTGTGTTTTAAAAATTCAGGCCCAATACTGTAATTGTACACAGATTAATTTTTATGTATACTGTCTCTCATATATTCATATATACATATTACTACACATATACATATATAGGTATACACACACACACACAAATTAAATGAAGGTGATGAATGTAAAGTGCTTAGCATGATGCCTGATACTTGTAATTGTGCAGTAAGGACTAAACATTATTTGGGAAAAAACATTAAGGGCTAAACAAAATTTGGGGAAAAAACTTAAAGAGTTGTTCTATAATATAGCCTTGTTTCTCAGATCATCTAAGAATTATATCATTAAAACAAATCATATAAGATGAAATGAGAAAGTGCAATACCCTAAATCTTGAGTATTTCTATTGCTATAAAATAATCAGTGTTTCTTAAATGAGCTACGTTTAATTGATCAAAGTTAATAATATATAGCATTACATACCTGACTTCACAACTTGAGAGACTTCTTTTCCAGATATATGAGCCATGTGTCCCAGTATAGAAAAAATAGCGAATCCAGCGAACACACTAGTGAGGCAGTTTGTCAAACAAACTACAATGGCATCTGAGAAGCAGTTGTTATTGAACTTATTATAAGATGATAGAGCAACTAAGCCACCCCAAGCCACTGAAAGGGAGTAAAATATCTGTGTGGCAGCATCCTTCCATACCTGTAAGAGAAAATAATTTAATATTTAAAAACATACACTCTTAATTTTTTATGCGTATAAAATATTTCATATATACAAATGAATAAGTATTCTAAGAACAAAATAAACACCCAGCTACCCACTACTCAGCTTAAAATGTCACCAGTCTTTTAAAGCCTCCATGTGCCCTTTCCTGACCATATCACCCTTCCAGTCTCCAGTGGTAACTGCTATCCTGACTTCTATATTTATCATTTTTTAAAATTTTCTGTATATTGTTTAACTATGTAAATAAGTAAACCTAAACAATCTGGCATTTAGCTTTGCATGTCTTGAATTTTATAGAAAAGTTTTCTTAATGCATGAAAACTTATACAACCTGCCTTTTTCCATTGACTGTTGCATGAGATTTATCTTATCATACGAAATTTCAATTTTATAAGTCAAAAATGAAAGAATATAGGCAAATTCATATGATTAAATTAAATGTAAGTAGGTTGGAACATTTTTTTCCACTGCTGTGTTGCCCCCACTGTGTACACTACAGTTTATCCTTTATCCTGTTGCTGGCCCTTTAGGTTGTTCAGTATTTTGCTGTTAGAAATGATGTACTTGTGCATATCCTTGCACATGTCTCCTCATTCGTAATTGTGGAACTGTGATGTCAGAGTATATGCATCTTCTCTTTTACTTAATATTGCCAAATGATTCTCCAAAGTGGTTGTATCCCTTTGCACTCCTACTAGCTGGTATGAGAGTTCCCTTTCACCCACATCCTTGCCAACATTGGTTAGAATTTTTCATATGGTCCAACTAGTGGCTGTGAAATGACAGTTTTGATTACCTTAATTACTTATCAGGTTTCACATGATTTTTATGTGTTTATATCCCATAGTTTTGTTCTGTGACATTCCTGTTTATATCTTGGCCAGTTTTTTTGTTTGAGTTATTTGTCTTATTTGATCTGTAGGAATTCTTTATGTAGTTTGGATTCTAATCCTTTCTGTGTTATATATGTTAAATTTTTTCTCCCAATTTGTGGCTTATTTTTTTCACCTCTTAACATTGCGTCCTTTGATGAGCCAAAGATTTTGTTGTTGATTTAATGTAGCTGAAAGTATCCATCTTTGCTTTTATGCATTATCCTTGGTTACTCTGACTTAAAAAAAGAATCCTTAGCCCAAGGTCATACAGATACTATCCTATATTTTCTTTGAAAAGATTTAAAGTTTTGCTTATATTAAGTTTTCAATTAACCTGAACTTGTTATTATGCATATTAAATTAGAAATACCAATACATTTTTTTCTAAATGGAGTATCAGTCGTCTGAGGATAACTGATATTATCAATTATATCATTTGGATATCAGTTATATCAGTCGGATAGTCCATCACCACCTCTGCCACATATCAAGTTCCATATGTTCATGAATCTGTTTCTGAGATGACTGTTCTGTTCCACAGGTCTGTATGTCCATACCTATGCTAACACCACATTATTTTATTAACTATAGCATTATAATACTGTTTCATCTCTGATAGGACAACTCTTCCTCACTTCTTCAAAAAACGTTTTTTTTTTGTCTTTTCCCCTTCTATATAAATTTTAGAATCAATTTTCAAGATCCATGGAAACCTGCTGGGAATTTGATTGGAATTTCCTCCACATACCAATTTAGGGACAAAAAAATATTAATTCTTAACAAGGCTAGTACTAGGCAATTTTTGAAGAATGATGATACATTTAGGCATCCAATTCCCTCATTCCATGTTTTGATGAGAGCCTCCTGTAGCTGTCCCCATCTCTTTAAGAAGCCCCCACACTCCTCATCTAATCTGGCCCTCCCTTATTATTCCCCCCTTTCACAATTTACCCCTCCTGTGTCTTTGCTAAAAGACAGTAGTCTACCTTAGAAACTAGCCTAGGTAAATCCATTTTAATAGTGAATTCTGTAGATGTAACATTACCCCAAAGAAAAACCTAATTATGAAGACTTCAAATAATAGGGCTGGCATATATGTAGGCAAAAGCGTATTTTCAGTCCATCTGAAAACAGGACTGGTCAGTGGAAGCAGGCCATATAACATGTTGATTAACAGTTCTAGCTCTGGAGTCAAAAAGAATGAAGTTTAAATCCAATACCTCTTGCTCTTTTTGACTTCAGTGTATTTAACATCTTTAAATCTGTTTCATCATCTCTAAAATGGAGATGATGATGATGATAATAGTAATAATGATAAGTGTCCTAGGAATGATGTGAGAATTAAAGGAGATTTAACACATATAAAGCAATTAGCAGGATACTCAGTGGTAGCTATTATTGTTTTTATGGAAAATAATCACAAATTGATAGTTTCTTTTATGGAAGTTACAAACAATAATTGTCTCCCTGAAAGGTATGCAATCTATTTCTGATTTCAATAGAACTAAAGTTGTTATGAGTAAAATAAATATTTACTATGTCTTCAGAATACAGCTTGATGTTAGATTATTATTACATTATAATTGCTTTTATAATGGCAGGAAGCCAGTAAGAAAGAAAATGGGTGGATCAATGGATGGATGGATAGATGGATAGACAGCTAGATCATAGTTACTTCACTTATATATAACAAAATCATGTTAGAAATAAAATGCTCTTATTTCTTAGGCAGTTGTACATATTAAGAGATGAACAACATGCTTATGTTGGTCTCTCAGCTGCTTTGACTTGATACGTTAGGTATGCATATGTGAGTTCACAGGGGCTGGAGGTGGTGTGGCAGGTCTGAGTTGTGTAAGAATGCTACTGCATATGATGTACCCAAGCTGCAAATGAAAGTGAAGCGAAATTCCAAATGTAGTTAGACTCTCTATATATACAAATCTCATAGCTGTATATAAGATTATTAGTTTAGGGATTAGGAAATCTTAATTCAAGATGCACAAACTGGCTGTGTAAATTTAAATGTGAAACTTCTTGGGTCTCAACTTCATCACTACAAAATGGGGGAGTTAGTAAAATAATCACTGGAGACCCCTCTAGCTACAAATTTGTATGGTTCTCTACTTGCCTAGAGATCTCAATAGAGTTCAAATATTCAAAGAAAAGGAAAAGATGTTTACTTATGATTGCACGCTTAGAATATGGATTGGAGAGGAATAAAAAACATCGAAGGAAAAAAATTCTCATTGCCAGCAAACCCAAAGAAGGAGTAGGGTAGTGTTTGTGTTGGGTGGGGAGGTAGGAGGATTAAGCTGTATGTTTCATAAGGAGTTTTAGGTTTAGCTCTGATGTTTTAAAGATCAGAGACACCGAAACACAGACCAATATAAAACAGTCATATAAAAATTTTCAGGATAGTTTCATGGATCTATAAAGCCCAGGTGATCTGAGGCTTGTAAGAGCCACTTTAAGGAATATCAAAGGGGCTTTTCAAGTGTGCTCAAAGTTATGAGGTTTAAAGAAAATAGAGGGTCCACTTCTTAGGGAAAAATGTTGCATCTATAATAATATGGTATTATATAACAGCAATAATTGAAATAATTGGGTGCTCATATTTATATAACAGTTGACCATTTCAAAGTACATTAACATATTTCATCTTGTTTAATAACCTAACAGAGAGAAGACGCTGAATCCCAGCTTCCATTTTATTTGTTTCTTATCCATCATCCAAAATGGTCGAGTTGGGAAGAGATTAACAAACAAGGTTAAAAGATGTGAGGCCCAAGATAAATGAAGAAATAAACAGGGGGCCTGTGGACACATCAGAATGTGTTAATCTCCAACACATAAGTAATAAAAAGTTCACAGGGTTTTGCGGCTAATTAATGAGTAAAAATTATTTGGACACAAGGAAGGTAATCAAAGGCCAGAGATTGACATCTCAGTTCTCAAAAAGGTAATGGATGGATTTGCATGACTAAAAACTGATCCAGTTGACTTGCTTCCCAGAGAAGTTCTACAACAAATAAGTAAATATCTGGATTGTATTAGAAAATAGCAATTGCTGGAAATTAGCATGAGTTCCACAAAGAATATCATAGCAAACTAAAACTAATATCCATTCTGGTTAGGACTACTAGAATGGTAGACAATATAGTGTTTCTTGATTTCAATATAATATTGTGGAGTTTTACCTGACCAGAAGCCTAATGTGTGTCAAGAATGTGACATGAGGCTGTATCAATAGAATACACTTACTGGTAATGCTCTCTGCAGTCAAAATTGTAAAAGAGTTTATGTATCTGTGATATACACAACCATTATCTGGAGATGGACTAGTGTTAAAAGAGGGCTGCCCAATTCATATTTTTAGGCACATGTTAATGGGTCTGGTACAAGTAACAGTTTTGTTTCTGGAATGCTTCATGTATTTCAAAGTTATGTTTTAACTTCATAATCAATTAGGTAAAATTCATCCTTACTTTTGGGATATTAACTTCTGAAGACAATTAAAATGTATATTAGACCATTAAACCATGAGCAGTAATCTTTAAATCTACCGTGAGTTTCTCCGATAAGTCACAAAGTCCTAGGTATCAATTTGTAGGTGTTCATGCATGAAATATTCTTTTTCAGATTAATAAGCCCCAAATCTTTTTGGTCAAATAGAACTAGCTTGAAGAAAATGACTTTTAAAATTCTATTGCTGGAAATGATTATCTTACTTCCTAAGAGAGCATTAGTGTCATGTTAAATAGCTAAATCAGACATCCTCGTGGACAGAAACATTAATAAATCTAACTGCACGTTCTTTTGAAGCTCTGCTACATTATGACACTCTTAATTGCAAATCAGAGATTTTCAGTTTTGGCTTTTAAGGTTTACCGCCTCAGATAATTTAAGATCCAAGTTGTCTTACCTCAGCTTCCCTAAGTTTTGTAAAATTTGACTGTGCTCCAATGTAGTAAGAAATGCCTTTTGATGCACCATCCAGAGTTGCCCCTCTGATCAACAGGATGAGTAAGACAACATAGGGGAAAATAGCTGTAAAATATACCACCTGCCAAGAAGAATGACCAAAAGTTAATAAGTTATTGTTTTAAATCATGGTGTAAAATTGTATACAAATTTAAGTTATTAGCCAGCTGAAGTGAGTAAAATAAAGTATCAAAGATTTCATCAGGTTCATAATAAGTCTGATAACACCAATACCCATGTTGACAGAATTTCCTCTTTCTGTTCTCACCACTCTCAAATGACCCACTTTCAAAACATTCTGATGTATGAAGCAGTATTTCCCAGGTTCTTGTAAATACACACTACATCAACAGAGGTAGCTTAGAATCTAGGTGGAGTGCTTTCCTAGATGTATCCTAATAAATGTTTGAGGGGACTGAATATCATCTCTTGGTAAATTACTTCACTGAAGTAGGAAGGGAAATGATTTTAAACCCTGCAATGATTAGTATATACTCAGTCTCCAAGGAGAAGAAAAATACTCTCCTAGTAGGTGTCCAAATCCCATGAAAGTTGATTAAAGTGAATACTGGACACTATCCTTCAAGCTACCATTTAGAGACTTTGCTAGCACACATATATACACCTGAGGACTGCGTGTGTCCTGAAAACACATGGTTTCAGATGAGCCGATTGCCTTTGAGGCTCGCTTTTCATTAATGGGGATGATTTCTTTGCTCCATAGATGTCCTATGTTTGATAACATGTCCAAGGAAACAATTTAAATAAGTCATCCAGAGACCAATAAAAATTAATTGCCTGGGTAAATGGCCTTTAATGGATTCTTTCAGTATTAATATCAAAAAGGAACCAAGGGTTCCAAAAATGCACAACTGCAACATTATTTTGAAAAGGTTCCACTGACTTTATGATGTTCACAGTATTTTTGTGATCTAACAGCATGTCTCATTATAATTTAACATTAGCTGAATGCGCTAGATATTGTACCAGGAATGCAAAAGAGTATCCACAGTTATTTCTGTCTTCTGTTTTTAAGGAAATTTCACTCTGGTAGTTACAAACACGTACATATTCACTTGCTCACAATTTCAGAGACAATTTCATGTTCTCTGAAATTGTTACGATGCTCTCTGAAAGTTAAAAAAAAATAAAACAATGAAGTGGGAAATGTTTTTCAGAAAGGACTCTCTACTGAGAGAGGGTTCTGAGTCAATTTTGGCAAGTTTTGAGAGAACAATGGTATAGTTGGGTTTTTTTCCTTCTCTCTCCAACTAGGGGAATCCTAACACTACTACCCTATAGAACATATATAACAAGGATCGAGGCTTTCCAAACCAAACATTGCAATATATAATTCTATTCAAAATGCTTATTTATCTAGTAGGACAGAAATTTTTAAAAATATACTCCCAAGCTTCAGAATGCTGTATTAGCTAGAAGGGTCCAAGTTTAGAGTAACTGCATGAATCTCATACCAATTTTTGCTTGTTTTGTTTCATTTTTAATAATAGCAGTGTTCTTATGCGTTTTCTTAGAGCAAAACTGCCTACTTAGAAAGCTTTTCACACATTTGAATGTTCACATTATAGAAAAAAAACATGCATTTGATAAGTGCTTGGCATGGAACCACAACAAAATTGGAAAACCGCTACATCACTATCTAATGTGTTTTCTAAATTACCTTGCCAGAAGACTTGATTCCTTTAAATAGTGCTGCTCCAACTATGAGCCAAGCCAGAAGAAGACAAAGTGCTAAATACCACACAATGACTCCAGTCTCATCCATTCCATTTGACCGCTGGAGCGCAACTTTACTGAAAACACAGAAGCCCTTTGATGAACACACAATCACTTGTCTTAATACATTGAATTTTGTAATATCTTTCATCCAGGGGGAAGCTTCATGAGTATTTTATCTTATTAATACATCAATGTCATGTGAGCCTTTTATTGATACATATGTATGGAGGAGCAAAAATAGTTCAGTGAAAAACCAGGCTTTGAACTTTCTGGTTAACTGCGAGCCAATCCACAAAGTTTTCCAAACCCTAGAATAAAAGATCCACTGATTCCTTTAGCTACGATTTTCCCCTAATATTTCAAAGCTCCTCTATGGAAAGAAATTAACCTTACATCAGATTATTTCATTTTACTTGTTATAGTATTTTTTTTCTCAAGTTAAAATGATGGAGAAAACATTCAAAATTACACTATACTTCATCATACTTGTAGTTATCATCAAAACTAAATGGTCCCATTATGTATATCTTTTTCAAAGGCTTTCTCTAAAATTTCATGATTTCCACTAGGGACATATATGGATTGAGGATTTTAATTTTTAGCTAGATGTTTGGAACATTTCAAGATCCAAATTTTAAAAGGGTCACAAAGAGCAATAGCACGTAGATGAGGAAGAGCTCATGACAGCAGTAGAGAAGTTAGGTAAAGTTAAAGAGTAGGTATGCAGTAAGAGAGATCATTTAAAATTAATAACAGCAAATATAACCCAAAACATCTATTTTTACCATATAATGACAATTATAAGCCAAGTGGATAACGAAGAATTGCAGTCTTAAATAGCTGCAATTTTGCCCCAAATATTACTCATCACCCAACTGTTCCTTACTAGAATTTGCTCATTGAAGTCTAAAATCTGAATATTTTTTCTTTTAAGCAATGCCCTAACTTATAGCCAATAAGTACTATATAAAGCATCATTGCTACATTGTCCCATTTAATAACTAGTTTATAAATGGCAATCTGTTAAGTATGAGCTAATTTTGCAGGCTACTACTACTCACCCAGGATAGGTAAGCATCTGAGCCAAATGAAGTATAATTTGCTGATTCCCCTTTTTTTTTCTACTTACATGAGTTAAGAAAAGATCTGATCAATAGCTTGTTGTTCTTTATAAAAACTTGTAATAACATCTGCTAAAGACATAGATAATTTACTGTACTTACTTCCAGTATTGTTCACTGGGAAGCTGCCCTGGCTGAGAAATTTCACTTCCATTGAGGCAGGTAAAATTGTTGGCATCTACCCAGCTTTTATTCATTTGGATGATTTCAGTCATGTTTATACTCACATTACAATGTGTTACTGAAAATAAAAAAAAAGAATACACACACACAGACACATACTGAGTTTGAGAAGAGTAATTTCCTGGGAGAAAAATGTTTTAATGGTGAAATATTCAAAGTATTGCCTAAATTGTTACTTGGTGAAGGTGGAGTAGAAGTTTTACTGATGCCACAAGCCATGCACGTTGAGCATCTTCAGTGTTCTCCACCACTAAGCTGGGGGTGAGCATGAAAATATCTGCCCTTTTAAACTGTGATTATATTTATAGTAACAGCTATAGAATAACAGCCATTTCAGTTGGGACTTAGTCGTCTAAGGAACTTTTAATATGTGGACTTATTGAATCTAGATAGATAAATGACATCTTTAAATTCCAAAGAACTGTTAAATCTCTATCACGTTATTCTCTGCTATGCATGACAACACTCACCATCTCCTGAAACACTGTTACTATCATAAACAGTGCTTTTCTCTCTTATCACTTTCCCAGTTTTCTTCCTTTTCCCCTGCCCACGACTTCGGCCTGCAAGAAGGACTCCTAGCAGTGGTTTAGCCTTACTGACTGCCCTCAGAAATGAACATACGGCATTAATCAATTTTCAGGTTACATGTGCTTTATTCAGCTTTCATCAGTAACCTATGGCTCACTTAAAATTGCACCTAAATTGGTTTAAAAAATGATTTAAACTTTTAATCTTATTAGAAAATACAAAAGAATGATACAGAGTTAACAATATTCTTTTTAATAAATAAATGAATTTTACCTATCGGCGTTCTGCTACAGTTTTCATCTGCCCAATCAGAACAGTATTTCCATGGCAGCTCACTTTGGAATGAAGCAAACATGTAGTAAAGACTGTAGGCTATTATGACATTGTAATAGATTGTCACAAAAATGGATATCAGGACCATTGTAATCCCCACACCTGGAAGAGAACAATTAAAAAACAAGTGAATTTTCTTTTGCTGATTCATAAAGCTGCATCTCAATTTCCCCAAAACCTATTTTAAAATGAGAAAACTGTTTCAAACAACTTTTTCTCTTTTATGGGGGTGGGGCAGAGGCAGTAGTACTATCTGAGTAGCTTATCAGCTTTCTGAGACAGTTTTTTAGTTGATCAGAAAAGGTACTAAGACCAAGGGCAGAAGTCCTGTGTTAAACCACTGAATTTCACATGAGGAAGAACTCTAAGCATACGCTCTACTACTGAACTACTACCCTCCCCCACCCCAAGCTGTAAATTCTTGTCAGCGTGAGTACTATTCTTAATAAAACAAAAAAGAACAAAAACAAACTATTCAAAGTTCATATCCTATAGACTCACTGACCAATACTTACATCTTCGTCTATAAACCAACATTTTGACAAGTAGAAGATAAAGCCTCTGAATGGATGTCCTAAAAAGATAGTGCACACCACTTCTACAAGTGCGTATAAAGAAAATTCAATAATTCAGGAACAGTCCGAATTTCAACTTCCCAAGTTTCTTTAACTCAGTAGTTCCAAAATGCAGTTTAGCATACTGAATAGAACTCCTACACTTCAGACTAGCTTTTGAGGTAGCTTCCTTAATATTCCAGCACAATATTCTCTTCACCTCGCTATAAATTTCTTTTTTGATGTTGCATTGAAGCTTTTACAAATAGTTTTCAGCAGCTAGCACATACCAAAATGATATCTAATCTTCCAACAGAAAGGCTGTTTGATGTTTAATAACAATCAAAGCATTTTTTTCAAACTTTCCTACTGTCCTATTCCATTAGGGGCATCCAAGAAAAAATAATGACCTGCCCTTCAACTTTTCTGAATGAGGCATTGTAAAAGATATGCAAAAGCAAGAAGACGAAGATTGCATAGGAAGTAGAAAAAAGCCAGAGCTATAAAGTTGATGCACAGGACTGTGCCAAGAGAATTTAAAAGGTGAAAATAAGAAAGGGGGGAGGGTATAGCTCAGTGGTAGAGCACATGCTTAGCATGCATGAGGTCCTGGATTCTATCCCCAGTACCTCCATCAAAAAACTTAAATAAATAAACTGAGTTACCTCCCCCCCAAATTAAAAAAAAAGGTGAAAGTAAGACTATAATGAGACCGTTACAACCCTCTCTTATATTCTTCCTAACCCCTACATCTGCAGCCCAAGATAGACAGATACACAAATTAACATTTGAGTTCTAAATTCAACAGTGGCAAATATTCAGAAAAGCAATGTATGCCTCTTTGCCTTTAACATGTCCAAATTTTAAATACTTTTTGTCCACATAATGAGGACAGCTATATGCAGGAATGGACCAATAACTACAGTAAGGAAAACATTTTAATACCAACCTTGAAACAATGGAAGAATTCTCCACACTGAAACTGGACCTAAGCTAGCAAATTGTCCCAGTGAACACTCTAGGAAGAATAAAGGTAAACCAGCCAATGCTAGCATAATTGCATAAGGTATCAAGAAGGCACCTAGAAAACACAAAACAAACAAAGCACTGTTATATTCCAAAATCTTGATGGCGTGTTGACAACCAGCATAACATTTTGAAAGCATTCTGATATAGTGGAGTCAGGGAGTACTGGGTTTAGGCTCCAAATTTACCACTGTCTGTGAGAAAACAGTTGATTCTCTAAACCTTGGGTTCCTCATCCATGAAACGGCGATGCTAGTATGACCTAATGAGCTTGTCATGATTATTAAAAATAATAGCCCATAAAAAGCGAGCCAGAGAAGTTGAATGATCACAGACTTTGGAGCCAGATATACCTCAGTTTATATCGTGGCTCCACTATATACTAGTTATATGACCTAGGGCAACTTACCCAACCTCTCAACCTTGGGATCCTCATAAATGGGAGGAACAATGCAACTCATCAGTTTGTGGTAAGGGTTTCATTACAGAGCATATGTGAAAACACCTGGCAAAATGAGCAGGCAAATAGTATGTGTTCAAAGTTACTTCCCTCCCGTCTCCTTTAAAAATAAATGATCTGTTTTTAAGAGTTAGGGTGTAAATGTTACAGGTGGTTCAGAGTGCAAGTTAATGCAGTTAAGTTCCTTATTCTCGAAATAGTCATAAGGGTCTTCACTCAATATTAAGAAACTGATGATTTTGGTAGAAAAACCCGAACCTTTGAGATGCATTAAGAATCGGCTTTCAATTTCATAAGGATTAATTCTCCTACATTTAGATTATCCAGGCCCCTCTTTGGTTTTTGTTTTAAATTTTTTATTATTTTACTTTGTTTTCTGCCCACTTTAGGGACATGAAATTGCTCATTAGAACTTTGACCAGACTCTAGGTAGAAGCCGGGACACAATATTAAATTTATTGATCAAGTATTCTAGAAGTCTTAACAAAGTTTTATAAGAAAATGTGGGGATCAGAGAATAAAAATGGGCTTTAAATTATGTATATTTCATTCCTTCTCCATGTTACCTTTCTTCCTTATGTGTTTTTCCCATTATGATACTGTAACATCATACCTGGGAAACTACATTTTTCCAACCCTCAAAATATATACTAGTAAAAAGAAGATAATAAAGTACTTGTTTCATACAAGTCACTAGTCACCAGAACATAGGGACAAATTCGTTCTTATATACGTTGCAATGTACAAACCATCATTACTATGACTAATAGAAGTTTAATTCCTACCCATGATAAATAGGAAGAAAAAGACAAAATATCTCTGTTTAAATACAATGATAAGCAAAGTTTCCCTAGCCCAGTGTAAATAGGTTTTTAGACACACAAAAAAGGTTTTTCCTCAGTGTTATATATGGCTTTTCATCCATTATATTGTTTCATTATTAATAACTACCATAACTGGTAAATTATTAATACACTGTGTGCTCACAAATTGTTAATACTGCTGACCTAGACCCTAAGGTAGTCTGAGACTTCTCATAAACTGTTAAAAAGCATCTACAGAGAAAAATGAGTCCAGATTTTAGCAACAGTCTTTCAAACCTGACTGTATTTTTAAATCTGATCTATTAACATTTGACAAATTTGAACTTCCTGTTTCTTTTCTACCCTTGAGCAAAAGAGAAAGAAGCAACTGAGAGAGCCTAGATCAGCCATTACTCAAATGATGTGATCTTTAAAAACTGAGATCTGATGTGATATATTAATTTCTAGAGGAAATGGTGAAAGAGGTAATAGCATATGATAAATAATGCCACTTTGTTTTGGCTAAGTCTAAAAATCTCTATTAAACCTATTTTAATACAGTTCCTGGAAATTGATAGCAAGTACTGGGCCTATGTGTGACATCAAGTCACAAGGAATTTTTTACTCTAAACCTGAACACAAGAGACTGGAAAGGAGCCCGAATGCTTCTCTTTACTACGCTGGACCTTAGGACACAGACACCAAAAAGATTGATTCCTGACTCATCTTCCAGTTCAAACTTATACCAAACCCATGATTCAACATCATAAGCTCTAGATAGGGTAATTAATGGCACCAAGACTTAGAGTGTTTGCTAAACAGAGCTCCTTTCTTAAGTCTCTAAAGGCCAGTATGAATGCTTTAATGCAACCAATTAACAAGGAATATGAGATTGAAATATCACCACACAAAATCCTATTGTACCCAGCAAAATAATTACAGTGGCACAGTTTCACTGGTACCCAATTATGAAATATAAGGGTATGTCACTTCTACACTTCTAATATAACCTATAATTACAAGTAAATAAAATATGGTGTAAGTGAAAAGTTGTTTCGACATTACTAGAGGATTGTGCAATTCATTTTGTTTCCTTCTGTGTGTCACCTCAGAGTTATTTTTTCTCCTTGTTCTAATTGAGTCTTCCTTAGTAATCTATGAGGTATAAACAGTATTATTTGCAGAAATTAAACACCTGGCCTTGAACTAAATTCTACTGCATTTTAGAAGGAACTTCTAGATGGTCAACCCAATTTGGAATACATGTAACTGAATATTGCAGCCTGAAGTACTAAACCTTTAATTACTTTTTAATCAACTCCTTCCACACTTAAATTTCCAAAATGCAATGCCTTATTTTATTTAAGCAATTTATTTGAGCTTCTTATTAGAACTAGAATTCCCTGCCATTTGCTCAGATTCAGTTATAAATTAAGCAAAACACAACTTGAATCTAAACGGATTATCACAGGAACGTGTATACATGGTTAAAGGTTACATGGAATCTCAAATCAACTCAGAAGTGCTAAATACACAACTTGTATCAAGTTTATATTTGAAGATTTTGTGAAGCCAGCTTCCCAACTTGAGCCAGAAACTCAGTCTAATAATAAATGCAGTCTGCTCACTTCCCATCCTCCTACTAATCTATACTATCATATACCTTTACTCAGTTCTTAAAATGAGAGACCATATAGCACCCCACCTAAAATTGAAGGGGAAATAAATCGGGAGTGGTGGGTGGTAAATACCTCCGCCATTGTTGTAGGTCAAATACGGGAACCTCCACACATTCCCCAATCCCACTGCATATCCAACCATAGATAGAAGGTAATCCGATTTTTTGGACCAGTTACCACGGTCCTGATTCTCATCATTTTCACCAACATGGAAATTCTCAGATGAAGCCGTCACTTTCTGGAAAAGGGAAAATATTAACAGCTTGCCTTTCTACTATTAAAAATTCTGCAGAAGCTTAATTTCACAAATCCAGAGAGAAAGAGAGAGAGGCACTGAGAGATAATGAACATTGAAAGTAGCCAGGGAACCCTTTCCAAAAGTGGGGAGATTTCTGCTGATGGCTGCTTTTACTTTACAGCATTTACCCCTTGAAATGCAAAAAGCTCTAGGTGGGTATTTTCACTACTTCTTTAGGTTAGATCTTACAAATTTTGGTGGGAAGGTTACATGCGGCACTCAGCATGAAGGGCAAATGAAGGTGAGCAAATAAGGTTTCAAATATGCAAATCTTTAAGATGTAAAATTAACACTCTTAAAATTGGAGATCTTTAAGAAGGATCGAATATAGCTACTACAGAGAGAAAAGTCATAGATTCTTTTTCCTATAAGCTGATAGTTTCGATGTTTGGTGTTGTCAGGGAAGTTTCATTTCTTTCCGGAGTAAAATCAGTGCTTTTCTGAAAGCCACAGAATAATATTCAGAGGTAAATTCTCCTGTCCCACCAGGTGGAGCAGCACTCTCTCCACTTCAGAGGAGAAGGGAGTGTTCCTCAGGTCAGATGAGGACAGTGCATTTTCTCATTTCTCACCAGCATGTGGACACAGTCCGGAGAGGGACAGAAAACAGAAGTTTGTGGGCACACAAACTTGTGGGCAGAGGATGAGGTGACCCTAAGTCTTCTAGCTACCAGAGTAAGAGCTGATTGATTTTTCCTCCACTCTATGGGGGCATCTCAGGCACACTTGAAGTCAGTTAAACAGAAAAGTGGAAAACAAGGAACAGCTGCAGAAACCAAAAACAGAGACTTGCCTCCCCTTCAGTTTTCCCTTCCCAGGTCCTCCACACCTCCCACAGCTCCCAGACCCCTACCTCCTTCCCTCTGCACTTGAAGAAGCTCAGGCATTTCAACTTGTCCATGGTTCACTCACTCCCTGGGCTCGCTCCGCCTGTCTCGCTGTCTGGCTGGGCTTGACTGGTGGCAGGTGCACACTCCCCCGTTGCTACCTGCCAGAGTGAGCCACCTTGCCCAGGGGTGGGACCATTTATGGAGGGAAGCTCTCCCCTCCCCCGCCCGGGCGCCCTGTCGTGTCAATTACCGGAAGGGACTAAAGTGAGGCTCTGGTTTTTCCCCAGGTAAGCTGGCATGTAGCAATCCCTAGCCCCGGCCCCAGGAAAGGGCTGGGCTGTGAAAGAGCGGAGCAGTCTGAGCCGAGATGACTGACAGCCTTTGACTCAGAGCCGCGCAGGTGCCTTCGCAACCTCGCCTCCTTTCCCGGCTTCCCAGCTTCCTCCTAACCTCTTCTATTAGTCTGGTCTCTGTCCTGGAGCCAAGTGCTGATCTCCACTGGTGCTGCAGGTGGGGAGGGCATGGTCCGGGAGGTTCGTTCTGTTCCCCAAGTTTCTCCTGAACAGACTGTACTGTCCTGGGCTCTGGGATTTCCTAAAGTTTTGCCCCTCACTAGAAAGCACTTGATCCCCTGAGGCAAATGCTGCTCCGAGAGGGAGAGCTCCGGAATTGGGCACCTTGAAAAGCAGCCAGTTGAGATAAGATTACTCAGCTGGCTCTGCCTGAAAAGATCAACTTTGAGTCTATGTCTCAGGCACCTTTCGCAGCCTTCAGGACAGCATTGCCCTTTACAGGGATTGCTTTGTGTGCTATTTCAAAGAGGCCAAACAAAAACAAATTATTGAGCAGGTTTATGGGAAATTCTAACCCTAACAAAGGACTCCAGTTTGCAAGAAAGGCGAGGCCTATAAAGTAAACTATGAGGAAACATCCCAGCTTGGCCAGGGAGGAAAGAATTATTATAATGCTGTTTACCAGTGCAGCACCTTTTCACCAGAAAGTCAAAGGATTTAAACTCGATCTGACCAAGGAAAAGATGGTGGCGGTTCTAGGAAACAGTACAAATCGCCGCACACAGAGGAGCCAGCCGAAAGCCAAATTCTGTGTCCTGTGTGCAGTTCCTCTGTTCTCTGCTGACCGACATGAATTTTCCATTTGCAGTAGAAATATGCCCTGGGGAAGATGAGCAGGTAAGGTAGAAAGTCCACGAGGGAAGTGGGAAGGTAGTAAGGAAAAAAAAATCAATAGGTTTCATCTAATCTTGTTTTAAACATGGCACAGGCTGATTGTGTGTGTGTGTGTGTGTGAGTGTGTGTGTGTGTACACGTGTGTGTGCATGTGCATTAGTATTATATACTATTAGTATTACTATTATATACTACTGGTGTGATCTAAAGGCTAAAACATTAGCCTGTCTCCAACATAGAAGAGAGAAGAGGGAGGGGGTTTATAAACCTCTTTATGAAAGAAGGAGCTGAAAAGCAAATCTAATAGCGTTTACCAAACTATCAAAGTCCCTTATCACAGTTCTGTTTACATGGTGCCCTGGAAACAGATGGTAACCGTGGGAAAGGAAAGAGAATAGGAACCTATCCATCCCACGGGTAGGTGGTAAGCAGAGAAAACAAGCAGCAATCTTCCCTGCCCATTACACAGTAGAAAAGCTTCTAACACCTCTGAAGGTTTAGAGGCATAAGTTTAAGATAGAAGGTATGTTAGGGAAAGTATTGCTTCTTTACTTGTTTGTTTTGGGGGTATTTCTCCCATTGCCATGCAGGGCTTTCCACGACACGGCTTCTGCCTACCTTTTTAGTGTCATCTCTTGCCATTCTCTGCCACAAACTCTCGAGTTTGTGTGTCCTTTCCTATGCCTGCACATACATGTTGTTACTCACCTCTGTACCTTTGCTCCTGCTATTTCTTCTGGAAATTCCTACCTTCCTCATTTGGCTAACTACTACTCATCCTTTAAGACTCTGCTTAGGTGTTACCTCCTCCGGATCTTTCCACAATGATTGTGCCTCTATTACTACAAACTGAGTTTTTAGACGCCTCTTCTCTGGAGTCCTATGCTACTCAATAGTCATTTTACATTGTGTGAAATTATTTGTTTACAGTCCTGTAGAATGCAAGTTCTTTGTGGGCAGAGAAGCTGTCTTACTCATTCCTGTATTCCCAATACCTAGCACAAAACCTGACAGACACAGATCAAGCACTCAGTAAATGCTTATTAGAAAATTTGACTCAGAAAGGCCATCAAATAAATTTGTGGTCAAAGAAGGGAAAGGACAACTGGTATAGAATCCATCCGCAATAGATCATAAAATACCAGGAGCTTGTTTTCTCTTCTTTGGGGTCTGACTTACCTACTGATGAACAAATTGTGTTTGTGAATTTTTGTTTATGTGGGACTTGAACATAGAAACTCAGTGGGCACAAGAGAGGGAGCTACGTAAACTCAGTCATGGGGGTAGAAATGAGCAGAGTGTGGGAGAACACAAGACTAGGCTAATTGCTGGGGTAATAAAGTTAGAGAGAGAAAGTGGAACCATGCAAGTGCCTTGAAATCCAGGCCTAAACTATGGTCTGATAAGCACTAGTACAGTGATTGTTAACTTGGGAATCATAGTACACTCCACTTTTGTTGTGTAAAAATACCTCAAAATTATGACGAATCACCTCCATGCACCAAAGTGTGAAATGCTGGACTTTAAACCATGGACCATCTATTCTAGGATACACACACCTCAGCCATGAATCTGCTTCTCTTTAAAAAAAAAACATTGACAGCAATTTAAAGATTTATTTAGGGGGATAGATATAGCTCAGTGGTAGAGTGCATGCTTAGCATGCATGAGGTCCTCGGTTCAATCCCCAGTACCTCCTTCAAAACCAAACAAACAAATAAATTAATTAAAATAAATAAATAGGTGGTTAAAAATACTCTAAAAAATAAAGATTTATTTAGTAATAAGTCACCATAACCAAAAAGCAGCTCACAACTGTGATTTTTGCCCAGGAAAAAAATGTTAAAATAAAAACTGATCCAATAGTTATATTCCCCATTCGTTTTTCTCTTCTTACTGACATTATGTCACTGTCCATGGAAATACCTTCAATCCTGTTCTTAGTCACTAAATATAAAGGGGGAATCATTATCTAAGGCTTTCTTCTAGCTATTTGGATGTGAAAAATGTACACAAATGAAAAGACATTTGAACAATCTCACAAACCCAATGCCCTGTGCAGAACTTCCCACACTACTTTCTGGATCTCTTCTGGAAGAACCTTATTAAATGTCACCTGCTGAAAGTCTAAGGAACCCTACAAGTCTACCTACCAGAAAAAGAAAGAAATCTACTTTTCAAAAATTCTCTCAGAGTACATGTGTGTATATGAATTATCCTTTTAAGTTTATTGTTTCAGACAACCACTTTATTAAAAAAATCCAACTCCACCCATAGTCAAAGCATTAATAAATTATTTCTAAAAAGGTTTCCCTCAACCCTGGGAAGTAACACATACTCAGGGAAGACAACCACATAGATCTCCCTCCTGCCAGACAAGGAGACGTAATGATTCCCTAGAGAATGGACAGAGAAACACGTACTCCTTCTCTACAGAATACTAAAGGATAACAAGACAGAGACCCTTGAAAGAAAATGATAGCTCTTGATGTGTAATTTCATAGTAGTACTTCTGAACAGGAAAAGCGCATCTGTTAAATTTCACAATTTTTTACAAACACTCGCTGCAGCCTACCACACAGCTTTTCTTATGTATTACGTGTACAAATCCTAGGTGTACAGCTGGATGAATTTTCACAGATGGAACGCTCCCATGCGCCAAGTTCAAGAAACAACAGTGCCAGGACCCCAGAAGACCCCGCCTTACCTCCCTCCAGTTTAACCACTATCTTGAATTTTAACACCATAAATTGGTTTTGCCAGTTTGTGAACTTTTGATAAGGGGAATATTAAGGCATGTACACTCTGTATCTGACTCCTTTTGGCTCAATGTTGTGTTTTGGAGACCCGGCCATACTGTAACATACATCTGTCATTCATCTATCATCATTCTGTATAGTATTCCAATGTACGAATATATCACAATTTATGTATCTGTTTTAATGATGGACATTTGGGGCTGTTTTAAAGAGTGTAGCTAAAAACTTCCCTGCAACATGTCTTCTGTATGTGTTTCTATTAGGTATAGACCTGAAGCAGACTTGCTGGATCACAGGGAATATACACTGTTCACCTTTAGTAGATGTTGCAAAGCAGTTTTCCAAAGTGATTTTCCAATTTACATTCCCATCAGCCCTACCCATAGATTTTTAAAGGCCACATAGAATAGAGTGGGCTGAGGAAGGAACAGAAGTTGGAAGAGGGCGCTTGATGGAGAAAGAGATGAAATAATTATTTACTGAGCCAAGTACTGTATTAAGTGATCTACATTTATGATCTCAGCCCGCACAGAACCTCTGTGAGGTCGGAACTATTATAATCTGCACTTTACAGATGAAGAAACAGAGGCTCAGAGAAGTTAAGTGACTTGTTCAAAGTTACACAACTAATAAGTGACATAGTCTGATATTTGAACCCAGACTATCTGACTCTAAAGTCTATGCTCTCAAACCACTTTACTATGAGAATGCAAGAAAAAGATGTTATAAAATGCTTTGTCTGTGGCATTCCTGCTGTAGGGGTTTGGTACTCCATCCACATTAATGATGACATGAAATAATTTGGCATCATTTGACCCTCCATATCCAGTAGAACAGTACACAGAGATGAAACTGTTTCATTTCATCTTCAGTGAGATTGACTAAGCTTACCTGTATTTCCTCCTTGAAGGAGAAGTCACAAAGATTGAATAAGCTTACCTGTATTTCCTACTTGAAGAAGTCACAACTTACACAACGTCTGTGCTTCCTTCCCAGCTGAGTCTCACATTGTCAGTTTGCAAGGGTCATCATCGAGAAATTTGGATTCAACTGATTCATAGTGAGGACGATCAGTACTGAGTGTTCAGGGTGAGGGCTGAATGTCAGTAGTGAGATCTTAGAAACAAAGAGACACACATAGTTCTCTAAGGTGTGACAAACACAGAGGATTTGGAGCCTACAAAACACTTAAGTGCTTCACTAACCGTCTCATACAATGTAGCTTTTTCTTTGAAACATCTTTAACTAGGGAAATCCTTCATATAAGAGCTACCTGAATCACACTAG